CCCCCCCCCCCGCAGGTCCCCTGGCCGGCGCAGTCTCTTTGTTTGCTTTGCATTCAACATGCACTTGTTTTACGTGGCTGTGGTCTGCTAACCCACGAAATCTGCACTTCATCTCCCACACCCGCGCCTGCCACGAAATCACATTTTAAGGTGAACCCCTGCGGCAAAACAACCCACCATACTCGGTCAACAGGCACCAATCAGCAAAGACCAACAGCAACGACAATACTGTAACCACAAGCGCATTCGGCAAAAGCCACAACAAACAACCAACAAGAACATGAACCAAAACAAGCGACGAAGCAACAAACCAAGCAACGTGATGAAATAGTCCGGCCGGCGCAGTCTCTTTGTTTTCTTTGCATTCAACATGCACTTGTTTTACGTAGCTGTGGTCTGCGCCTGCCACGAAATCACATTTTAAGGTGAACCCCCTGCGGCAAAACACCTTCTCCACCAACCAACCAAGCCCCCGGGGGGGGAGGGGGGAACCCCCCCCCCCCCCTTCTTTTCCGGGGGGGGGGGGGGGGGGGCCCCCCCCCCCACGATTTGTGGATGACAAAACTGGAGGAACTATCGAATATCCGAATTCGTCCGCAAATGTTTGGCCAAGACGCAGTTGGGTAAACAAGAGTGGTTGGCTCGTGCCAACGTTGGAAAAACCACCTGCTGCTCGGCAACGGAGCGAGCTAAGGGACTGGTCACTGCCCGCCTGCTCTCGCCCAGATGGGCCCGCTCCAAAGGAGTTGAAATGCACCACACTTCGGACAAACAGCGCGGTTTCAGGGTCAGCCTGGCAGTTCAAACACCGAGAAACCAGTGAAGATATATATGAAGATTACATCACTACGTTGTCAGCAGGTGTTGATTGGCAATGTCGATTGCCAAGAAGTCACGTTGGCACCTCATCACCAGAAAAAAAAATAACTTTCATTCCTTTGTCGATCTTGGACTGTGCCAGGCTGTCAGCCCGAGCCTCAGATGCAGTTGCTTGCTGCAAGCGCCTCATGGATGGGCTCTCACCCTCAGGGACAAAGAGCTGTGCCTGGCATCCCAGGGCCGAGAACATTAAAAAGATTAACCCAAAGCCCTTGACCTGCCGCGTACCACATGCATGGCACGTTCTGCCCTAGCTCAAGGATTGCTTCCAGCTGTCATCCCGGCCTTGCGCAGCGCGTTCGCAGCGGCCAGGGCATCCTGCCAACGCCTGAGCCGCAGCAGGGGCTCCTCACGAAGCAGCAGATCCTGGGCTCTTGCAAGTGCAACCACTACACTATTCCACAGTACGGAGCTGCTTCTATCCGCTTCTGCGCTTCACTCAAACGGCTGCATTGAGAGATCCAAGATTCACCGGGCTGAAATGCTTTTGATGCTCGCAAAAACTTCCCCAAGTGTGGCTGCTCCGCATCAGAGACCACGGCAACGGCCATAAGGAATCAGGGGATGGTGTATAGTGACTAGTTTGCAAGGCAAATCTTCCTGGGATGAATTAGTTTCTATAGTGTTGTTCACATTTCTGAGGAGAGCTGGCGACTCTCTAAGGCATCCTGGGTCGAAGAAAACGGCCTTCTTGGGCCACACACCATCAACTGACCATACACTATACTTATAGTAAATGCGGTATGTGTTTTCTCGTTCTCTGAAGCTTTTCGCTTGAGGCTGGAATTCCGGAATTCAGGCACAACCTTGACAGCCCGACAATCAATTGCCAAACTCCTACATCAGATTCCTCCTACGTTCGCAAACCTAATCGGTTGAACCAGTACCCCGTACCCCCAGAAGAACCAAGGCCTTATCACGTCGCATGATCGAGGTGACAAGGTGCATTGATCTGTATCTTCACATCCATGTGTCTGTCACAGGTCCTGCAATCCAACCTTGGCTCTCCCTTGTCACAATCTATCGGCCTTCGAAAGGGTTGGATGGCTGATTTCCTCCTGCAACCACAGATTTCAGCTTGCAATCCAATCTAGTGAGGCCATGGCTTCCCTTAGCTGCCAGCCAGCCACAAATCTTCTGTCCTCTTCTTCCGAATCATCCTACGGAAATGGACAGCGAATGGATCGAATCTGCTCAAATGTTGGCTTCAAGGATCGAAACAACACATTCTTTGGCCAAACCTGGATCGCTCCCGGCATTGGTGCATCATCATCCTGCTGAGCACGATTGGTTTTGCGGCATTTTGAGTGTCTGTGCCATGGCGGAAGCTCTCCAAACGATCAACTTTTCAGAATGAATTGGAGAGTCATCAATTGTGTGCCTGTGTGAGTCATGCCTGACTGTTTTACCACAATCGTCACCACTACCGCAATACAACAACATCATATGATATCGAAATACAACTGACTGTATATAATGTTCATTGGCCGGTGGGCGTCGCTGCCTCTTTAAAGGCGCTTCGTACGGCGGCTCTGTTTTCCAATCCGTGAATGAGCCAAGGACTTCGTCAGTTCTGGGCCTCAGCCTCGCTATCCTATCCTCACTTGTATGGGATGCCGGCGTACTGCGCATGGTACTTGACGAAGTGGGATCGCATGCCAGAGTCACTCATGCAGTAGTCCCAGTGGATGGAAGGAGGCTCGTAAATGCCGAGAGTCAAGATTTTCTTCCACTCATCGCTCCACCAGCCAAAGCTGTACCAGGCAGCAGTTGGCGCGGCCACATAGAAAGTCCAAGGTGCAAAGCGAGACCACACCTGAGCAGCTTCATGAATCCTTGTTCTTCTCCTTTCATTAGATTTAGGAACCGGGGAGTCTACCACATATCAAGCAACACTGATACCTAAATTAAAGTGCACACTGGCGTTGCCATTTTGGTTTCTTCGACGTGGCTTGCCTGGTACCAGCCGTACTGGCTACGCTGTGTCCAGTTGGCTGTGCTCGCCCACAACTTGTAGTACACGGCCTTCGTCATTCACGTCACTCGCTTCAAAAACTCGAGTTTGGGGACGTTGACTGCTCTCAGCCTCACTCGCTCTGCTGAAGCTTGAGCCAGCTGGAGCCAAAGGTGGACGACATCAACCACATGTCTTGTAGCGCGATGTGACTGATGTGGCAATGCACTGGAAAGGACTGCAGCTTTATATATATACAGTATTATACAATATTATACTGTGTATATATATATATAATATACACCAAGCACGCATCTTTAAAATCCACCCGAATCCCCGCTTGATTCAGCACAGGAGTTCCAACTCACCCAGCCAGCCTCGTCTGTCTGCATTATCCAGTCCTCAGCTGAAGCCCGTGGGTCAAAGAAACTGTTCGCCTGTTCTCTTTTCGAAGGCCACATGAAGACCAAACCAAGTCTGTTAATTGTCGAAGTCGAACTGGTTTTTTGATGGATCCCGCTGCGCACAGCTCAAATGGAGAAGTGCTTTCTGTTCCAACTCCCCTAGCAAGGCCCCGTGGTTCTGCACTGGTCTGTCACCTTCCATTGCTGGTAGTGCCAAGGCAAGGGTCAAGGCACTCGGGGTGAAGCCATCCAGTTCCATCTTTCGCAGCAGGTGCAGGGCAATGTCCCAACAAAGTGATCTCCCGCAAATTGAAATGACTGTTGTGTAGGTGACGTGATTCGGGCACAACCCCTCAAGCTTCATCTGCTCCAGCAGCATGAGTGATCGGGGCCACTGTCCAGGGCCTAGTGCCGTCAACGCAGCACTGAAAGCAACCGTGCCGGGTTGCAGGTGCAGCCCTCTCATCTCAGCCAAGAGCACTAGTGCATGCCTCCACTGCTTCTCACAGGCACTGATAGCAGCGCTGAAGCTGATGTCATCTGGAGCTCCTAGCTGCTTCACTTGGGAAAGAACTGCTAAAGCACGTTGCCATTGGGCACCCATGTCACAAGCAGTGATGGCTGCATTGAAAAGGATGGTACTGTTGATTTGATTCTCTTCCGCATGCTCCAGAAGTTGCAATGCCCATGCCCACTCTCCAGCTCGACCACAAGCTCGCAAAGCCGCACTGCAAGCAACGACGTCTCTGGATAAATCAGGCTTCTCATGGAGAAGAAGAAGTGCGGTCTGCCATACAGCAGCCTGCGCCAAAACAGCTAAGACGCAGCTGGCAGGTACTGAAGTGTCCATGAAACTTGTAGTTTCCATCTGCTCCAAAAGCTGCAAGGCAACCTCCCAGCTTCCAGTTGCTTCACAAGCACTGATGGCATTCGTGTATGCCATGCCGTCAGCCATTGACAATCGTTGCAGCTCCCCGAGCAACCCAACCGCATGTGGCCAGCCACCTCCCTGTGCCCATGCGCTCATTGCCGTGCTCAACAGCGCAGCATCCGCCCTTTCTCCTGACCTCTGAACATCGTTCCATAGAAGCAAAGCCAACTGCCACCGCTGGGCAATCAGAAGCGCTTCCATGGCGGAGCTGTAAATGATCTGGTTGGGCTCCGTGCTAGACAAAAGGTACAGTGCGCTTTCCCAGTCGGAGGCTCGTCTGCATGCTGCAATCGCTGCACCATATGACACTGCGGTGCGAAGGAGGTTCAGCTCCTGCATCTCCGCGAAAAGACCGAAGGCACATTGCCAGCTGCCTCCTTTCTCACAGGCGCTCATCGCCGCATTGTAGGTGATGGTGTTGGGCTGGACCACCCCATCCTGCATCTCTTTGAGCAAGGCAAGGGCTCCTTCCCAATGTTGGCCTCGCTCACATGCAGTGATTGCGGAGCTGCAGACGATTACGTCCAGTCCTGGCATGGTCCGGAGCAATCCCACTGCAACGATCCAACCGCCGCTCGATGCGCAAGCAGAGACTGCTGCACCTCGTAGCACTGCATCCGCTGTTCGAAGGTGCTGTAGCAAATCGAAAATCCAAACAGCTGCTTCCCAGCTCTGAGCCTGGCCACAGGACTTCACTAACCTGGTTGCAGTCACCACATCAATCTGTAAACTCCGCTGTGACATCTGCTCGAGTAGTAGAATGAGCTCTCTCCATCTGCGGTTTTGCGCGAAGGTCTGAGCTGTAACCTTGCATGTGGAGATATCCGGGAAGCTTGGCCCGTCCAAAATCAGAAGGGCTGCTTGCCATTGAGCCTTCTTCTGTTTGGACAAAGCGCTTCCCATTCTCTGTGGCTTTCCTTCGGCCATTGCGTCACTTTGAGCATCGGCCAGCAAATGGGTTGGGAGCCTCCATAGGCTTGATCCAAACGTGGCTGATGACCTCCAAGTGGAAATACTTGGTCAACCAACTTACTTAACACGCAGAACCAAGGAAGCCGCAAGTTCTCTGATTGATCAGGCTTCCCTGTTACAGGTGGCGTTCTTCATGGGGTTGGGTGCAGCCAAAGCGTCAATGAAGTGATCAATGGACACTTCTTCATCATTCTTTCCACCGGCAGCCTTGAACCTTAGGTGCACAAAAGAATTGCGCAAATATAGATAGATAGATAGATAGATAGGTAGATAGATAGATAGATAGGTAGATAGTTTTTCAGTTTCAGTTTCAGTCGTTTCGCGGGCGTCCACGAATCACGGGGCGACAGGACCAGTAGTGTCCTGGCTGAGATGGGTCTCAGACTCAACAAATGCACCGAGGTGCCCTATGCTATTCAGCACTTTGCAAGTGCTCAAAAACCATACCCAAAAGCCGCTATGGCAGGTCCAACAAAGGAAAACTCCGGGGATGGAGCTCAAGCGTTTGGCGGGCTCACAACCCCAGGAAAACACGATGAGCCGGAGCGGCCCAAAGAAGATGCTCTCATGTGGTCACAAGTCGTTCGGACCCAAAAAGATCTCGCTCGCAGGTCAGGACAGAGCCTGAACAGGAGCTCAAACAAAAAGTGAGCTCACCACTCAGGTGCCTCTAGCACAAAGGCCAAAATGGCCAATTGAGTCATGTCTGACAAGAGGGGCAGGTTCAACATCTTAATCTGAGGTCAAACCCAGGAGAACACTCAACCCTCATGAGTAAAGGTCCGAGGAAAGGAAACGTGAGTGACAAGCTGGCCTGGGTTCACTTCCAAAAGGGAGAACTCCATCAGGCTCAAAAACATGCTTACTCAACTCAGTTGTGGTCCCGCAACCACTCCCCAAGGCCGTCTCTGTCAGGGGGCACCAAATCCTCAGGCGTAGCATCCACTGGGGCAGCGGCTGCCAGGATCAGAGCATCAGCTGAGCCGGTGCGACGAGGTAGCAAGTCAGCCTGGTAATAATGCATGCCAAGGCGCACGTTGAGCTCAAGCTGACACATATGATCCAGCTGCAAAGGCTCAAAGCCCAAAACAGGTCGGGCACCACAAGCATCGCATGGAAGTGAGCTAATCCACCGACGAGATTGCACATCCCAGTCCTCCTGCAGCTGTGCACGAAAGGAGCTATGACGATTCCTGACATGGCGGACCAGGGCAGCATGTGAGATGATCAACTTTCCACATAGACGACAACAATGTGTTGTCAACCAGTGGCGCATCTGTGCAGGGTACAGTGAGAACTGGGTCCCGTGTAGGTGGTGCAACGAAGCCAGGTGGCAACATTTGTCCTCCAGTCCTACCACATGATGACTCCAGAGACTGAGATCCACAGCATCTTCTCTGATCAGAAAGATGCACACCCAATGTTCTGTCATGGGGGGAACCGCACCGGCCAGCTGAGCCTCGCGCATGTCATCAAAGATGACCCATCCTGCCGCACCTCTGCCAACCGCTCGGAGGTGACCACTGTTGCGGTCGCCCTGATGCGCAATCGCTCCAACAACCACATATGGGTGATGAGCCTGAGTCATGGTGTCCTCATTCTGCCGGGGCAACCACACAAGCTCATCCACGTCCAGGCGCCAGGAGCACTTGCAAAGGCCTTGGTCAGTCATCTCAAATCGATCAACATGAAGACATATGACACGACAACCACGTTGAAATGACGCGCACATGCCAAGATAGGATTTCCAGCCATCTACCAGCGCTTGTAAGGAAATCTCCTTTGTTCCCGCAGGTGCACTCAAGGTGGGCGGATTGAAAGCTGCTCGTGATCCAACGTGCGGATCTGTTCCCCTTCCTGTACACGCCGCTGCCAAGAGTTGTCCATGCAGGATGGAGCCAGCCAGCTCAGAAACTGAATCAAAAATTCATGTACGTCGTGCTGGCCTTGGCCCCAAGGCTTCAGGAAATCATGAAAGGAGGGGACATCCTGGAGGTTGACCCACAAGCTCTCCTGTCCAAAAAGATTGGCCATAATTTCAGCACCAGGTCCCAGATCACCCCACATGGGATCCTTAAGCTGACAAATTGTCCACATCACTGCGACCGTGGCCGCATTCTGGTAGCAAAAATTGGAGGCATTGCTCAGCCTAACAGCAACCAGCCAGCCAGCTACCTCTTCCTTGGCAAGAGGCCAGTGGATGCCCGAGCCAAATTGGAGGCCAAAGGGTTCTCGCGAACTGTATGCGGCCGGAGGCGCCCCAGGATCAAGCTCCAGACTGAGGAGGCTACGAGTTGGTGAAGCAAGGCATGGAGGCGTTGGTGCCTCATTCCAATTTGCAACATCCATGGGAGCACCTTCACCTGAGAATTCTCGAGGTCCGATGTCTTGAGACACTTGAACCGAACTACTGCTTGCGGGTCCGCCAGGAGTTCGACCAGCTCTTCCAGCAGGCGTTGAACACAGGTCATGGAGAGTGGAGGCTTGTCCATCACACAAATCTTGCGTTCCTTTGGGTTCCAGGCCAAGAAGGGCCAGGACCCCTGCTCCGTGAGGATGGATCGCTGCAGTGCTTCTTGCCAAATCTCCGGGGTCTGGGCGGATTGAGCCACCTTCAGCATGCGCTCCAGGAGTTGTTGGCTTAAGGTGGTCACAGTTGCCGCAAGGACTGCGTCGCCTTCTGCTGGTCCAGAGATTGCTTCCAGTTCTTGGTGGACTGCACCAAAGTAGGGATCATGCTCGCAGTGCCCGGTTGGAGAAACAGAATGAACGTGTCCTGAGTGGCCAACGCCTGCAACTGGCTCTCGTGGCGGAGTGCCAACTGAGCCAACAGCTGCATCAACTTTGGTAGCTGGTTTGAGGTATCGCTTGATCCCTCTTCGTGCCCCCTCGAACGCTTGGCTGCCGGCGAGCGATGTTCCATCAGGAAATTCCCGAAGGTGTCGTCTAGCTGCATCATCATGTCCTCCTGCGAGATCTCGTAGTGTGGCATGGCGGAGTTGCCGAAGGGCGAGGTTCAACGCCAAGGGGCACTGATCAATAATCGCTTCAGCCACATTGCAGCAGTGAATCTCCGGGCAAACACATGTGGGAAGGAGACGCTGAGCATCAGGAAGGAGGTCAGCGTGCTGTTCATGAATATGTTGCTCAAGGTGTTCCAACGAGCAGGTACTGTCACAGTAACCACAATGTGTGCTGAGCCACGTACGCCGCGTGGCGGAGGTCCAGAAAGTCGCCGGAGTCATAGTGACCGGGGCCTGAGAGTGATCGGTTGGTTTGACTGAATCAGCAGTGAGAGCTCGGTGAAGAACAGCCAATTGGAGATACACCATGCAGCGGTGGCCTCTCTTGGTCGAGTGGTTGCCACATAGACAAGGGCGGCCGCTAGCAAGGCCTTCGTTCTGATATCTGTCATCCAAGAACTTGGCAGCAGTAATCATTTCAGCATGGTCTTGCGCTAGGCGCTGAGCCACTCCGCCCGGTTTGCGAGACTGCCTCCCACATAACACACAGCAGGTACGCAAGGCTGTCTTGTACTCAGGAATAGCAATGATTGCATCAATGCTGTGATTCAACGACAGTGCTCGAAGACGGGGCCATGTGTGGGGAATGTGGTCACCCAACGGCCTTTAAGTGGCTTGAGACAATGCCCACAAGTCGGAGTGCCATCTGCGCCAGGCTGAAAAACTGCCGGAAGGTCCATGCCCTTCTTTCGTCGTTTCAGTTGGTCCAGCCAGAATGTCCGTCGATGTCTGTCCCACGTCAACTATAGACTTCAGGATCGCTAATTGGCGAACAGCAGAACAATTGTGGGTGCCCTGCTAGGGAGTTCCACATGCCCAACACGGTCCAGGTTGAGGGGAGTCGGGATGGATGCTAGGCACAATGGTCTTGGAGTCGTACCAATGGCTGTGATGGCTTTTGGCCAAATGGATCAGCAGGTCCTTGCCCGTGCCAAAATGGCGACCACAAAGGACACAAGTGGACCGAAGAGCCTCCCTGTAGTCATCTTGGTCGACAATGGTGCTCCACGCGGAGTTCACAATCAAAGCACGAAGGACCGGTTGGTCACAGAGAGGTACCTGGCGGGGCCGAGCTGCATCAAAAGAGGGACAGTTGGCATGCTCAATATGGTGAATGAGGCCAGTCCATTGTGCAAGGCATGTCAGACAATGCGTGCATTGAGGTGTTCCATGAAGTGCATCACGCAGAACATCAAATCGAACATAAAGTGGACGAGCTTTGTGTCTTTTGGCTAAATGTCTGTGTACGCGGGCAACTGTCGGAGCTTCAAAGTCACAATACGGACAGGCCTGAACAGGCGGTGGCTCAGAGGGAGAGTCCATATGCAGACCTGTCGTTGACAAGGCATGAAAGGTGTTCATGACCCTTTGTTCAATCCGGCTGAGGGGAAGTCTGTGCAAAAAGTCAGAACCAGGAAGGGTGGCCATGAGTCACATGCTTAGGAGATCGTGCCAGGACTCGAACATCAGCATGTATCCGATGACAAAGAGTGCGAAAACCCTCCTGCTTCAAGCCACAGCTGCCAAGGCACTGTGTGTAGCTGGACAGGATGCACGTGCGCCACAACCGAGCCCGGTCCCTGCTAGTGACAGCATGCTTTCCAGTGAACCATTTCTTCATGCGTTGATAGGTGATTCTGCCCAAATGAAGTCGGTGACGAACAGTGGCTTGCTCAAAGGTCTTGAAGGAGATGCATGCGCCTAAATATGTGTGAACTGCAACAATCTTCAAATAAAACTAGGGCCATGAGCTCGCGGGATAATCAGCCACCTGTGAACCTCAAAGGTGCATACATGCCTTTTCAACAACGTACGTGTCCCGCGTCCTTCAAGTTTGAGCAATGCAACCGTTTTCTCAAAGGAGATGACCAATCCATGTTGCTCAATGCAATCGAAAATGTATCCAATTTCAAAGAGTGCACGACGGAAATCCGCGGCCGAGGAGAGCCACCATTTGCTCAGCGAATCATCAGCATACGTGATAAAATGATCACAGATCCATTGAAAAGCAGAACACTCCGAAGTCTGAAAACCTTGTCCAATGATGTCTAGCATGTGTGCTAGGAACGCCGTCCACTCAATCGGAGAGGCCCTGCACCCTTGACGGACACCGCGTTGGGTGCGCACACTCGCTCTCAGACCTCTGTGACGAACGTGGTACCTGGCATCGGTGAGCCAACTGAGCAAAACTGAACTGATCTCCGGTGGGCAACCACAGGAATGTAACCCTGCTGCAAGAAATTGACGTGGCAAGCGATCATAGGCCTGCTTGAGATCCAAGGAGAGCATCAAGCCAAGCCTCCACAGAAGGTGTCTTGTCGAGTACGCCACGGACCTGGTCGACTGGCTTGGCAAGCGGAGCGAACTTGGTCACAGAAATCATGAACAAACATCAAGGCTTCAGCAACCCCACGGTCAGGCACATATGCGAATATCGGATATTGCAGCAAATGCGGGTTCATATAGAATTTGGCCTGATCGATGTAGGCGCCCAGCACAGCCTTGCCCAGACAACACGTCAGGGCGATCGGCCTGAGGTCTGATGGACTCATCACTGTGCGCTTGGCAAGAAGAGTCAGAAAGGCATCACGCCACAGTTGAGGGACAACACAATGAGTGCCCCACTGCATGCTCAAGTAGGTATGGAGCCAGGATGCAAGCTCCGGCGCTAAGCGCTTGGCCACAAGACCAGGCAACGTACCTGGAGCAACTGCTTTCAGAGGCTTCGTCTTGCGAAGTTGATGATACAGGTCATCTGCAGACGGAATCCAGGGTGAGCACGTTGGAATCAACACTGGATCAGTAGGGACATCAAAAATCTTCGTGAAGTCAACCTGTAGGCGGGGGTCTTGAAGAAGGCCTTGAGCATCACGAAAACGAATGGCCCGACGGGCCTGCTTCGGGGTCAGTTGCCTGACCGCTTCATAGAGAGCCCGAGTGTCATGGGCTGCAGCAGCCCTGGCGGCCGCAGATGTGATTTGCCGAATCCGGTCCAGCTTGTTGCGTGTACAATGATGACACAGTTGCTTGTGCAATTGTCGGAACCTCATCCAGTGGTACCAGGCCCTCAAGGTCGTCAGACCAAGGCTGGGGTGCTGCTTTCGGGCCCAGTCAAGATGCTTCCATTTCCTGGACACCAAAGACATGGATGTGGAATCAGCCCAAAGTGGCGGTGCAGCTAACGATCGTTGCACTACCATGTAGCTACGCTGAACTAGAGTGGCAACCAATCGTTCCGGTGTACATGGAGAAG